TGACCGGTCTGTGCCTACGCAGCCCCATACGCAGTCAACTGCGATACACTTTGTGTTTCCTCACTGTTCTATCATGGTCAGCATTAAGTTTGTCAGCAATATGAGCTACAGTAACTTTTCTGTTTGATCAGGTTAGACGGACTCTTCACATGCATCAATGAGCAATGGGCACCCTGGTCTACCAGTTGTCCTTTCTTGCACACTTTTCGGAAGGTACTAACCAATGTGTACCAGGAACACCCTACTAGGCTTTCTGTTTTGGAGATGCTCTGACCCAGTCGCCTAGCCATCACTATTTGGCACTTGTCATAGTCACTTTCATCATATGAAATTCAAGAACTGACTGTTCACTTGTTGCTTAATGTATGCAGGGCCAGGGCTCCCAGGCTACCTGCAGGGGTGCCTGGGAGTCGATATGTGACAATACTGCCCCTGCTCCTGCCCCATAATACTGTCTCTACCCCCACCATACTGCCCCTGCACCCAACACTATCCCCCACAAAATGCTGCCATAACCACCCAAAATACTGTGTTCCCCTAACCTACATCCATGCTGCACTAACCACCACACAATACTGCCCCTGCCCCCAATTCTGTTCCTACCCCCCACCATAGCCCCAGTCCCCCACAATACTGTTCTTAACCACGCCCCACCACAGCCCCAGTCTCCTACAATACTGTCTCACCCCAACATTAAGCCTTAATCCCCCACAATTCTGTTCCCATCTCCTCACTAATGCCCCTATCCCACCAAACTAAAGAATCAATCCAGCACAATACTGCCCCTGTCCCCATCAGAATAAAGCCCCAATCCCCCCAAATACTGCCCCTATTCCCCCACTCTAAAGCCGCTATCCCCCACAATACTGCCTCTATTCCCCAAAACTACCTCTATCTCGCGCCGCAAAAGCCCCCACTAAAGCCCTATTGTACAGCACTATAGAATTTGTTGGCGCTATATAAATAATATTAATGTCCGTATCCCACATAATTCTGTTCTATCCCCCACAATAAAGCAAAGAGACACAGAAAGGGGCTGGTGGGAAAGTAAGAGACACAAGGGGGTGAAAGACACACTAAAGAGGGTGATATAACACGCACACGAAGGAGCTAAAGGGGTAAGACATTAAAAAGGGAATATGAACCACTAAAGGGGGTAAGGAATTCAAAAGAGGGGTTTACGAGGCACACAGGTGAAGATACTTTTTTCTGGGTGGGAGGGAGCAGCAAAATGCATCTTTGCCTGTGTAGCCAAAAATCCTTGCACCGACCCTGAACAGGTGGCATTGCAATGATATAATCTATGTTATTCACTTACTTGTCAGTGGTTTTAATGTTGTGGCTGATCAGTGTAAATGCTAATAATAATATTCAAAATAAAAAATAAAAAAACAATATAAGCTTTGAAAGATAAAGAGGCATTGTCGTCTACGGGTCAATTGACTGAGGAGCTGGAGAGAAGATGAGAAGGAGGGACAGTCAAGAGACAATAAGGGAGAGCCATTAGAAAAAGAAGGGTATATCACCTAAACGATGTTCACAGTGAACTGAACACCTAATTGTAAAATGTTGCCTAAAGTAGCTGAGCTGTGACTATAGCTAGAATTTTCCCTAATCAAGAATTTCTGCAATTAGGTTTTACAGCTCAATGTTTAGTGAATAATTTCCAAGGTTTAAAGGATGATATGTTTGAGAAGTAGAGAAGGTCCATAAGAAGGGAGAAGATGCACGTTATAAAAGGAATAGAGAAGTCATGAGCTGTGGGGTGGTTAATTGAAATCATTAAAACAGAAGATAACAAAAAGTCAGGAGACGAGAAGGGAAAGGTAGAGACTGTTAGGGGAGAGGTCTCGAATTTTAGAGGATATAGAGAAGTCTTGAGCTGGGGTCAGATGATTGAGGAGCAGAGAGACAGTAGATCAGAAGGAGTGAGAATCAGCTAGGGGACTTTGGGGGCTTTGGGTCAATCAATTTAAAAGTAGAGTACAACTTGACGGGGAGTGCGAGTCAGGATGTGAGAAAGGACAGAAGTAAAAGACAAAAAGGCCAATTGCTCAAGAAGCAAGGAAGCATGGATTAAAAGAGAAAAGAGAGGTTTAAATGGAACAAGGGGTCATGAGTTGGGGGTCATTTAATTGAGGAATAAAGAATCGGAGCTGAAAGGGCAGCTCAGGAGAGAGAGAAGTTGTGATGGGAGAAATAACCCACAAAACGAGCATAACTGTGATTTGTTTTGCACAGACAGCATTTTACAGACGAATATATAGCTATGTGAGTATGCCTCATCCGTGTCCTATTTATATCTTCCAGAGTGCATTGAATTAATCCATCTGCTCCTGCATCCTATATATATTGTGTTACACAACCAAGTGTCTTATGCATGAAGATAATACCATATGGACACGCTAATTGGAATTCAGACACATTCACTGGCAGTTGTACTAGCGGAATATTGGAAACCTATAGTCTTGATGCGTAGAAGGTGTGAATTCTTCGGACCAAACAGCACACTTGAAAGAGGTCACATTGAAATGTTACTCTATTTTTTTCTTGGAAATATCTATGGATATTGTATCGATTTATCCTGATCCGCTTGTAAAATATGTTAACGGTTTAAAGGAAGATAAACACGTTTCTAAGCCCCTGGCAGTTCTGATTGCCGCTACCGGCGTATTTTCTCTAAGCTTATAATAGCAATTCATATCTACTGTATTATTATTTTTTTATAAATCTCGGTAAAAAATGCACGATAATAATCTTTCTGCTGGTTTTGTGTTACTGCATGTACTACTCTTATATCCCTGGTTATGTATTGCTATGTTTGGATTGTGAGAATGGATGAAATATTAAAGCAAAGAATCGACGAATAAACAAAGCAGTTTTTTGAGAATTAAGTGCAATGTACAACGCAGTGATCACACAAGTCCTGTTGTTGCTGTGGATGGAAACAAGGTCACAGAGCCACATAAAGAAGCAGTTTTTGTATTTTCCTTCAGGAGATGAGACATTTCCTATATAGCTTTAAAGTGGTAGCTTTCGTCATCAAGTTACAAGTACAATCAATATTACAATTATTTATATAGCGCCAACATATTCCGCTATATAGGAAATAGGTAAAAGAAGGCAAAAAAATTGTAGCATATGTAAACAGTAGGTGAACAAGGGCCTGCCCAAATGATCTTACAATTTAAAAGTTACTTATAATATTAAAGGGACACCACAGTCACCAGAACCACTACAGCTTAATGTAGTGGTTCTGGTGTCTACAGCATGTCCCTGCAGCCTTAGCACTGCACACACTGCCTTTTCAGGGAAAAGACAGCAATTACATAGCTGGATAGTTGCACCTCTAGTGACAGTCACTCAGACGGCCACTAGAGGTGCATCATATCTGCATGGAGGAGCTGAACATTCCACATAGAGATACACAGGAAAGCATTGGATTACCTGAGATCATCAAGACTGAAAAGGTGAGAAAACTCGCCTTCAATGTCCACGCAGAGGGCGGCCGGTGACCTATACGGCTATTCCTGCACTATATTCTTCTTTTAATTATGGTAATTCTGACTATGCTACTTTACCAATAAATAAAATAGAGGTATATATTGCATCCGATCGCATAGCCAGAAGTGCATTTTACTTGAGATGGCACAATGATATAGTAGATATAGTAAGCACTCATGATTTAACATATCGGTTGTCATTGAAGGTAATGGAGTTGCAGAAAACTAAATCTGTCTCTTAGGTGTGCAGAGATCACTGTTAGAGCTCCGTTATGCTGTGCTGGTCTTACTTACAGAGGTTACTGGGATGTATAATGTAACACCTTGCAACTCAAGTTGCTTCTATCTGTCAACCCCGTTTAACACATGTTCCGCTTGAGCAAGACCATCCACATAGATCTGTGAGTTTTGTGCACAAAAAACAGGCCATGTGTTGTGTTTGTCCCCCAGGCCAGACGTTGACAGCCCTCCCATAGGTAGGAAAAGGTTCTGTTACATTGTTTCTTTTTAATCGACATGTATGACCAATAGCTCTTTGTACAGTGCGGTTAATGGACAGGTTAGAGATTTATTCTAGCTGGACTTAGCTGTATTTATGTGATATTATCAAATCCCTGTAAGACACATTTTTTTGTTTTGACTTGTAATATCCTTGTTTTACTACACAAATCAAAGCTGTAAGAAAGCTCTAACAAGCTTTGATCTTTCATCCTGTGCACTCAACTAAGCTATATAAGTATATCTAGGATGTTGCTAGCTTTATCCCAGAGACTCTGGGTTTGCTATGTGGACATAGTGCAAGATGACTTCTCTCCTGTGTCAAGCTCTGCTCATTACCTCTCTCTTACAGTCCCTGTGTGGAGAGATCTGTACATGTTGCTGAATATGTTGGTTCTTATAAATAATAATAAAGTAGGATGAAGGGTTAATAGGAATACTAATTAAACCAGGGGTGGCCAAAAGGTAGATCCTCGGATGTATTAAAACTACAGCTTCCATGATGCTTTGTCATTTTAAAGGCATTCCAAAGACATTCAAAGCATCATGGGAGTTGTAGTTATTATTATTATTATTATTATTATTATTGCCATATAGCACCAACAGATTCTGTAGCGCTCTACAACATTATAGGAGGGGGGATTTAGTTATATATAGGACAATTACAAGAAAACTTACAGGAACGATAGGTTAATGAGGACCCTGTTCAAACGAGTTTACAGTCCATAGTTCCACAACATCTGCTGACCTACCTTTTGGCCACCCTTGCTTTAAAGTATAGTCCACCTAAAAGGGACTTTTAGCCCCATATTATATTTGTCCCTAGAAATGTCAAGAATAAAATCCTGTGGTTTTTTTCTATAAAATAATGTTAACCGTAGTTTTAGGAATTATTAAAATATTGATCCAATATACATTTTTACATTTGTTTTTAATTTCAGATAATCAAATTTACAATGTATAAATAATATACAATTTAATAAACATTATATATTTACGCTACACTGAATAATTGTGTCACCGCCTTATATATTCTATTTTTATAACAATTACAAATCCAATAAGGCTACTGCTCTCTTAAAGTTACAGTCCAGGCACATATACATCTGTTCTGAAATAATCAGATAATTAGCCATTGTTTAACAACTAGGAGAGCTCAAGCGAAATATACAGTGGTACATTAAATACAAGCATGTGTCCCTTTAAGCATGAGGAGAAAGATGGCTCTTCTGTTTATAAAATAGGTTCGTACTAGGGTTACCATATCCACCTTCTTATCCTATATATCAAATCATCATATGCAGCACCTGAAACATTCTGCCCAGCAGTATCTAACATTTATATGCTACAGGAGGGGAATCCATTAATAAACCAAGCAAATAATTCAGGATTGTTTGTTGATTTAAAGGGACACTCCAGTCACCCAGACCACTTCTGCCCATTGGAATGGTCTGGGTGCCAACTCCCACTATCCTTAACCCTGCAAGTGTAATTATTGCAGTTTTTATAAACTGCAATAATTACCTTGGAGGGTTAACTCCTCCTCTAGTGGCTGTCTACTAGACAGCCACTAGAGGGCACTTCCTGCTTCATAGCACAGGTTTTCTGTGCTAGAGCATCGCTGGATGTCCTAACGCTATGTGAGGACCTCCAGCGTCGCTAAAATCCACGTAGGAAAGCATTGAAAGCATTTTCAATGCTTTCCTATGGAGAGGTCTAATGCACGTGCGCGGCATTGCCGCGCATGCGCACTAGGCCTCGCCTGCCAGTGGACGGGATCTGTCTCCCCCGCCGGATGATGTGAGGACGGGGAGGAGTGTGGGCGGACCAAGAAGCAGCGGCGAGGGACATCGTCACTGCCTCTGGTAAGTCACTGAAGGGGTTTTAACCCGTTCAGTAACCGGGGATGGGGGGTGGGAGGGAGAGGGGACCTGCAGTACCAGGAAAACTGATTGTTTTCCTGGCACTGGAGAGTCAATTTAAGGGATACAATAAGCACCAAAACAACTTTAGCTTAATGAAGCAGTTTTGGTGTATAGTTATGCCCCTGCAGTCTCACTGCTCAATTCTCTGTCATTTAGGAGTTAAATCACTTTTGTTTGTGTTTACGAAGCTCTAGTCACACATCCCATGGATGTGACTCACACAACCGGCATGAAAAATATGGTTTGATTTTCAATCAGCCCAGTGTGTTTACTTTAGAAGTTTTCATCTCCTACCATGTTAATTAAATGTTAATCTCACACAGAATGTTCCTGCAGGCCCTAGCATGCTATTAACAAAGCAGGAGATTTAAGCTGATTTAAAGGAAGTTTAAAGATTAGATCTCTCTTTACAATAAGTGTTTAGGAAGGCTGTGTAAGTCACATACAGGGAGGCGTGGCTAGGACTGCAAAAAACAAAGTGTTTAACTGCAAAATGGCAGATAATTGAGCAGTGAAACTGCAGGGGCATGATCTATACACCACGACTGCTTGATTAAGCTAAAGTTTTTTTTATACTTGTAGTGCCCCGCTAATGAAATAAATTATTACAGCATTTGAATGCTAGATACTACTAAGAAGCACTTTTTATGTGCTGTCCAACAGAAAGTGATTTGTGTCCAAGATAAAAATAGTGGATCTGGCTATCTAAATCCCTACCACATGATACGCATGCGCATTAGGTCTCCCCCACCGGCGGGCGTGATCGGTCTCCCCCGCCAGATGACGTGGTGACGGGGAGGAGCGTGGGAGGGCCCAGAAGCAGCACCAAGGGACATCGACGCTGCCTCAGGTAAGTCACTTCAGCAACCGGGGATGGGAGGTGGGAGGGAGAGGGGACCTGCAGTGCCAGAAAATGGATTGTCTTCCTTTAAACTAAACTCAAGAGGCAGCAATTGCCCAGATCAACTGCCTTATAAAGTCTTCTCATTGAGCTGCATTAGAAAGTCTGTGATTGGACAGTCACAGAGAGTCTGGGCGGGGTTAGAAGGTAAGAACTTACAAAGGCTGTAGATAAGAGATCTGCAGCTTTTGCAAGCTGTTTTTAGATATATCCTCATTGAAAAAAAATGCATTATTAAATGCATGCAAGTTTTCATTGGGGACATATTTACAAAACATTATTTAAACATTTTTTTTTACTTTAAGTGTAGAGTAGGGGTTAATATATAGTGTGTTAGGGTAGTGTAGGGGCAAAAGGGAGGACTTTATTCTAAGGGCATAACTGTTCCAGTGCTACCTGAGATGAGAGGTGGGAAGCAACTCTATCAGCAGCCATCTTTAAAGTGGCAGCAGGTTCTGGTAGAGCTTCAACGTCCACTAATCTCAGGCAGAATGAGTGACCAATGCATTATTCATCATTCATTATGGAAATATGTTAGATTTCAATGACATTGAAAGGCCCTCTTTGTGGCAGGGGATTTCAGACACAGTGCCTGGTCACTTAGATACCAGAAGCTATTAAAAACAATGGGCATATTACATGTGCCACACATTTGAACTAGGCCTTATGAAGAACCAGTGGCCACAGGGAACACGTGAAGTAGGACACAGCTGCTCTCCTCAAGAAGACAGTTGATTTCCTCCAAACTCAAGTCCTTTGCCCGTCTTCTGTTTATCTCCATGATTTCATCTCCCACTTGCAGGATTCCCGGTGGAAATGTCGAGGCAAAGGCTCTGCTCATCTGTACCACGTATAATCCTGACAGGAGGTGAAGAAAACGTTATAAGGTTAAGATGGGAAAGAAGATGTCACTGACAAGGGTGAAAGGTCGGCCACTGAGTTGGAAGGACATGCACTGAGTGATGCAGAGACTCGGTCATTGAAGGGGACAGGCAAGCATTGAGTGACACCGACCATCAGTCAGTGAGGAGGACAGACAGGAAATGAGTGATACTGGACTGCATATCATTTTTGTCTTAAAAGATACTGTTCCACCAAACATATATTCATTTTGAAACCAAATATAGAACAGCGATAGAGCGTTATCATTAGCTCCACACTGCAGAGCTCAGCTTACGAGAGTTACCGGAAGCTCCGGCTTTGGAGCTTCCAGCTCTTCATTTTTTGTTCATTGTTAGCAGAGTGGTGCACAGTGGACTCCTAGTAGTAAGTCAAAACATTCTAAAATGGTGTAACTATTTACAACGGAGGAGCACCTGGGCACTCCTGACACCATAACCACTGCAATGCACTCTAGTAATTATGGCTCTTGAAGTATTCCTTTTATGACAATTTGTAGGTGGCGTGACTTCATGACTGACTGACAACTTTTTGGTTTTCTCGAATCTGAAACCTTTCAAGTCCCATAATCATTATTTTTTTCTTTAAACAACAATCAACAATTGTGTGAGGTTTTCCATATTTTATGAATATTAGTAATATATACTGTTAGACTTGCGCACAGCAAAAAAATAAATAAAACATTTTAAGGGACTGTGGAATTTCGGCAGAATGTGGCAATTTGGTTTATTTAAATTTCATTAACAAAAAAAGATTTAAAAAATTAATCATACAAACCCAAAGGCAACAAAAAAGGGCCAGTAAGTGTACTGTAATATATATATACCGTATATAATAATATAAATATTGTGCATATATTTTGCAGTACACTGAAAAGCACATTTTGCTAGCATTTTCCCACAGATCAGGTAAGAAAAAGTAACATATACTGTATGAGTAGTATGCTGTGCAATCACAAATATCCGCTCTACCAATTGTTTAACAATTTAAGTTATAGAGTAAATCCATTGTGAGCCACAGCTTTAAAATCCTTAAAGAAATTGTTACCTTAACAACATCTACAAATAAACACATAAACTCTGAATACCGATCAGATCGAAAGCCTTGTTGCTATTTTTTTTTAACTGTTACTGTCTAATATGGTAATGCAAGATTAGAAAGACATAGATAAACATATATGACAGTCAAACAGACAGACAGACAGACACAGACTCTTGCTATAACTGCTAAATCCAGGTTTTGTTTTAATAACATTAATACTTAAATGTCCAGTGAATATGTACATTAATTAAGGATAATAAATGTGTTACTGATTTATTATTTTTAAAAAAAAGAATTTAAAATCTGCCTGGCGTGATAGTCAAAACCTTATAATGTGACAATAGTTTAATAATATTTAGTCTAATAATTTGAGCTCCGGGTGGTAAATGAAATTCAGCGCTAATATATACATTAATTTTCTTTTTAAAAAAGAGACCACGTTCATTCCTACTAGAATGCCTTTTGGAGGGTGTTTAAACTGGGAAGTTTCAATAGCCAAAATATGAAATAGGTGATAATTGGCACTCGTCACCTGCTGTGGGAGTGCTGGCAAAGAACACTAAAGTTCTTTTAGAAAAAAAAGTTAAGAATTTTGTGATAACAAATTTTTTTTATTTTTTTGAAGAAAGACGAGGAAAACTTCTAGCAAACAGAAAATACAAGTTTGAGATACAGACTAAATTTTTTTTTGATGCTTTATTTAATATTTTATAAATTTTTCAGAAAATATAAAATACATGACTCATACTGCTCAGGAAAAAAAAGGTGATATTTAGAGATTTATTTACTAAACTGGAAAACTGATATAGGGAATTGTGTATTGTTTGCCAAATTAGCGCAAAAAAATAAAATGCTAAATTTGCTATTGTTCCAGCTCGATTATCTTGGCCTAATATTTTCAGAGAGAGAAGAGAAGGAAAGGTACGTCAATAGAGCAGTTTTTTAAAATGAAAAGTTGGTGTATATATAACTGAGATAGAAAGTTATAGATAAAGTCTAATGAATTGTTGATAAGTTAGCTGTTTTACAGTTTTTTTTTAATATATATATATATATATTGTCTTATTTGTCCTTTTTTATTTTTTGTTAGGGAAAAATATCTTTCAATAAAAATTTTATTTGAAGAAAACAAATGATTTCCTTGTTAACGCGATTGCCAGATCAGCAACTAAATCGCATGCCTTTCTTTAAAAGCGGTCCCTTATTCTTCCCTGCTGTAGCTCGTTTATTAATTATTTTTGTTATTTAATTTATTCCCCACCCCCTTAAAGTAATTTAATCTTGTCATGTTCGGCTCATCAAATTAGATCGAATTGATGGAGAAACTTTTTTTTCTGCCTGCCATCAAAACTGAAAAACTGGCTGTTGAAAGAACTTGTGGTAAGATCATGAAGCATAGCAAGTTTCTGCAAATCTCCTTTTATCCCAGAACCCTTTGACGTGCAAAGCATTCCCAGAGGGCTTCGGGAAGTGAAGCAATGCCTTAGATATGCAGGGATCACTGGCCAATGCACATGAAAGGCTTGTCCTAACGTGTTGTAGCATTACCTGCTCCCTAAGTTTCAGTATACAACCTTTATTCAAGGCCCCAGTAAAGATTAAAATCAGAAGTTCTATAAGGGTACTGTATGAAATTATAGTTTATCGTATCTACAAGATCGATACATTTTGTTTAAGGTGATCAGATCCCCTTTTCAAAAGGGATTCATTATAGAAGAACACACTAAGAACATGGGACAATGATGGCTGACTTTGGCACCCAATTGTTTACGTTAATGCGTAACTTAGACTTATCAAGTATCAATCTGCTAATCCTCACCCAGAAATAATAGCAGGCCTCCCTGATTTTGGCGGGACAGTCATGATTTTGTACCCTGGTCTCCGGCATTTAAAGACTCCAGAAAAATTGTTCCCAAAAAGCATTTCACAAGTGCATCATTACACACGCTTGCACCATGCTCATAGCACTAGGACACTGCATAGCGCACTTTGCAAAACTATGCATTCAAGGCAGGCTAACCTGCTAATCCTTCAGGCAGAACCGTTTCTTTTCACCCACCCTACTATAATCTCATTTCATAAGCTATATGAGAGCAGTGGGCTGATACCTTCCCAGCATTTAGGCCCTATCATATTTTTTTTGTTTTGCTTTTCATTTTCCTATTTTCCCTGTACATGAATGACTACACTCCCTCCCTTGCCACTTGTCTTTGTTTATATTTATCTATTCTTTCTTGTGCCAATATCTGGGTGCAGCCATCTCTGCCCATGATGTCTACCGCCTGCCCTACTGTGGGATTGATTGTACTGATGGATTGTGGGTAAATCTAATTAGCAACTAAAACCAAACTGGGCTTTAAGCTCCGCCCATTGTCACGCTTTGTCAACCTCACGGCTGCACATGAGGACAGAAAAGTATCTTATGTATTTTTTTAAAACTAGTGCATTCGGGGGAAAATTTTTAAAAAGAGGTTCAGATACAGGGAGGGATGTAGACGTAGATTAGATAATGTTTATTTTTGGCGACAGACACACTTACCAATTTTTTTCAATTTACTTTTGAGTGTAAGTGGCAAATGAGCTATTAGAAAAGAGTCTCTTCCACCGGACGGACAGGCTAAATAAATTAGCAAATTTTCAAACAAGAAAAGTTCCTTTGACAAAAGTTTATATGGCTCTTCTAAAGTGCTTTGCTTTGGTGGTTGTTAGAGAATATATATACACTGTGTCGGTAGCGTCTGGAATTCTGATGAATTTCTCAGCAGAAAAAAACAGGTCAGACTCACTGCAAGTATCACTAGGTCTCCAGATTGCATCAATGTTAAATTACTTTCATTAGAAAGTGTTTTACCAGGAAGAAATCATTGACATTTCTTTTTTTTTTTTTTACATGCATCTTATAAATTACGCATTAGGAAAATAAAATTGAACATCGCATGAACTGTATAGATTGAAGCTGTTGGGTTGAGCATCTTGGGAAATGTAGTTTAAAAACATATGTAGCTGTCATTTCTGCCTCAAACTCCCAGGTTATGATCCGCCTTCAAACAGAAGTAGGGCAGGAGCTTGGCCAATCTTTAGTTAACTATTTATTGCTAAAGGACAGCAGATCACATGCAGTCATGTGTGGCTGTGTCACCTTCGGTTACATGCTGTCTACTCACAATATGTTGACTGTCCAGTGTGCCATTGAGCAGATTAATGCACGGGCAGCTTCATGAACAGCGCAGGTGTATATTTTTTTTCTTACTAATTTTGATATGAAAATGGATTAGATTTTACACCTATATATTAAAGAACCACTCTACAGTCAAAACATGGGGGGATCTCTGTTTAGTAGATATACCCCCAATGAGTACAGTCATTCTTATTTCATGCATGTATTCATTGGGGGTTTATCTTAAAAGAGCTTGCAAAAGCTGCAGTTCTCATGTCTGCAGCCTTTGCAAACCCTGCCCTTTTCCCCAAGCCTAGACTTTCTGTGGCAGTCCAATCACAGAATTCCAACTGCAGCCCAATGAGAAGTCTTTGCCATTGCTGCCTCTTGAGTTTAGCTCCACTGAGTTAAACAACCAGGAAGAGAATTTCAGTCTCTTCATAGGAAATAACAGTCAAACTATGACTATAACAGTGAAACTATCTTCTCGTACGCTCGCACGCACCGGCTTGTACTCACATGTTGACTCATGCGAGCGCCTGTTAATGCACACATGCACACACAGTGCACTATATTCAGGAAGAACGCTACTCTGATCTAAAGTCTGAAAAGAGGTATGCTGGGGGGAGGCAGGCACCCTCAAGTATAGCACGTCTGCCTATTCTGTTAGCTCAGGGATACCAATGGGAGTAGAAAAATACCTCTCTGGCTGTTTGATTGAAAGCCAGGGGTGTGCCATTATTTATTAATAAAAGTGATGAGTTCTCATAAAAATCGGTAAAATCGGTTTTACAAAGTGCCTTTTTAATCGGATACTCCTCACCCATAAAGCAGTTTAACAAGCAGGAGTGCATTATGGGTGTGGCGTGGCCCTTTAAGATACATATATGTTTATTAATTAACTAGTATGCATACCTTTTTTTTACATTTTTCAGAAATAAACATAATATTTATTTGAAACATAGGATGCGTAGCTAGTACATAAACATGAACTAAAACAGCAACTTTGTGTGCGTATGTCTTCTCAGAATTTATAATTTAAAAGGCTAAGACATGTTTTAGAGATTAATGGTATCCTTTATCTTTTGCATAAATTTTTGTCGCATTCAGTAAATTTGACAAAAATAAGAAAAAAGAAACAGGTCAAATAACACTCTAATGTGTGTTTGTAAAATGTCACCAGAATGTTACTATAATATCTTTGTTAGGAGAATGTAGTGCTTTCCATATTTACATACATTGTAGCATGGCTGTCCTCTTCCTTTTGGAATCAAGGACATTCCTCCCCAATTTTTTCCCTCCTCCCAATTTGTTATATATTTTTTTCTTAAAGGGGCTTCTTGCCTTCTTATGGATCAAGACTAAATGATATATAATAGAGATGCTTGTAAATTCGGCCACTGAGTCAGTCTCATTGTTGACTTCATTTTAACTCGATAAAATATCAACCTAAAGCGGCACGACTTTTGTAGTTTACTTTTTTTTTTAACACTTCTTCATTTGTGAACTGCATCAAACTACTAAGTTCCAGCCCTCTCATCATTCCTCCAGCCCCGGATGCCCCATGTAATAAGATTTCCTGGTGGGCTTTGGTACCACCTGTGTGGTCCACCATTTAAAAATTGAGATCTACATAACATAATGAATGTTAGGCTTCACCATCAGATGCTAATGAATGAGTGATGTAAACAATACGGTTTAGGGGCAGATGGGTCTGCACAAAAAAGTTTAAAGGTTGCTCCTTGACTGTTTACAAATGGCTCCCAATCATTGCTTATATAAAGTTTCCATACTTACAAAGAAAGTTGAGATTAAAGAGACACTTCAGGCACTATAACTACTTCATCTTCATGCCTCTCAACCGTCCCAGTTAGGACAGGACAATGCCGATTTTATGATCCTGTCCCAACGTTACAGATTTGTTCCCTGGTGTCTCACTTTGAGGACACAAGGAAACTGTCCCCAAAAAGCATAGCACAAGCACATTTAAGGGCCTGCCCTCAGTGGGTTGGCCTGTGTGATTGGCGGGCTGACTGCCAGTTCTTCTGAGGGAACCACTCCAATTCTAAGTGTGTCTACCATCTTTGGAGCGGCACCAGTGACGTGATTCACATTAATGGCCGCCCACTTTTACCCCACCCGCCAGCATCCCAATTCACAGGATTCCAATGGTGAGGGGTATGCATGTTTTGGAAGGTTTAAGACTGAATGAGGGTCTTTGGACAGCCACAGCCTGACCCCTCTGTGCTGCTTGAGCAAATTCCTGACCCTGAACATAGCAACACTGCCAGTGGCCTCCAAGCACTATAACCACTTCAATGAGACAAACTGGTTATAATGCATAGAGAGTATCCATCCAATGCAAAGATAATGCAAATCGATAACTCTAAATTTGCTTAGTAGAATACATATTCCGAGTGTTTATTTTTATCTTAAATTATTTTATATAAGTTGTGACTTTTTAAGGTGTGACGTAACAATGTATCTAAAAGGACAATGAGTGCTGTTGAGTTAAAAGTAAGTCAACTCTACTGAGGTTGAGAACTTCAACCTTTCTTGGAATTGGGGTATGTAACAACCACTCACAACCTGCATGGTGCATGATTTATCGGCATTAGGAAGGACTTCATTAAGTGTAGCGGACAAAGCTAATTCACGCTCCTAGAACTGTGAGCCTCAGGCAAATCATTCCAACCAACTGTGTCACTTCTATCTTCGTAGAGGTGAACAAGTGTTTTTTTTTTGGCTGCTTGAACCTGAATTCCAGCTGCAGTTTGGCGCGAAAGACTATCTCAGCGATCGGAGGGCATTTAGGAGACGATCCATTCACCATGAAGAATTTTGAAAGCAGTCTGGCATCTGGCCAGCCATTAGGGATAATAATCTACTCTTCCCGGAAAGTAGAACCGCAGCGTTTATTTTATCTCTCTCTCTCTCTCTCCATTATCACTGAGTTTAAATGCAGACCTAAAAATGCGGCATTATGGAGAATTTAGCCTGTGCTGTAACACTGGCCATGTTAGAAAGGATTACTGCTATTTTAAAGCTTCCAAACACGTCACATTGTCCGATTAGGATTAGAAAGTTACTGTATGGAAAGATAAACCGATGGTAACTGTGTCGAACCTTTAACCCCTTTCTAGCAGCTAGCAGACAATGGGTTAAAACTCTAATATACTTTTCATATATTGTTGATAAAATGGAAACCTCACCATATTTTTCATATTTTTTTTAATTGGTTTCACTTTATAAAAACATGTCGCTTTGGTGCCCTCTTCTTTCAGCGATTTATAAAGTTAAATTCTATGAGAGGCCTATGATTGGAGCCCACGATGGTTGCCGTGACATCAGAAGGGGAGTAGAAAGTCACCCCGGGAGCTTTGACCAGCGCTGGATTTCAGGTAAATTAATGATTTATTTTATTAGTTATTTCAGCGCTTTTTTTGGGGTGGTGGACCTACAGAATAATGCCCCGGGGCATTATGCCTTAAAAAAAAAATAAGGAATGTGCTGGTTGTGCATGCGAGTGGGGGGGCATCTGGGAGTCGTGGTGTTTGGCATTCAAACCTGTTCACACATGTGCGTGTGCTAGGGGGATGTGCGAGTCGGCCAGTTTGGGTGCCGGGTGGAAGGGGAGGGATTCAGCACTTGGGGGCGTCATAGGGAGAGGGCGCGTTAGGCAGCTGGTGCCCGGGGAGCACAGCTATGCCCGGGGTTCGGGACTTTGTCATTGGCATTCCAGGTTTGGAGGAGGTGGTGTCCTGGCGTACAGGGACTGACAACTGTTTGTCCTGTGGGACTGGGCACTTTGGGGCTATTTTGCACAACTGATATGATTTTTAATGGTGCTTATTTCCTTGTGAGTTTTCCCTTTGTTGTTATTTAATTTTTACTGTATTAAAAATATTACTCTATTAAAACAAAAAAACAAGGAAACAAAAAGGTTGGTGTAACTCCTTAAGCCTGTCAATGCCATGTGTGTGCGCTCATTTGCCTTTTTTTTTTTTTGGTAGATGTCTGAGCATGCCAGAGGCATCCTTTGTAAAGCGCTATGGAATTTGTTGGCGCTATATAAATATAAAAATAATAATCCTGGGGTGGTGACAAAGTGTCCCTGGACACGGAAGTTCAGCGGAGGTAAGTGTGTTTTTATTGATCGCAGTAAACCTTGCTATGTTAAGTCTCCGTTCCCAGGCCAAAGAGCCCCTTCATTTACAAACCTCACATTGTGTTTGAAAACTGCATACCTGTTTTGTTCATTTCAGTATCTTATCTCAGTCTGCAAGATAAAGCAAACAAGGGTTTATCTTACTGCTTTGTGGTAAACAGGTCAATGAATGGGTCTTTACTGCCAGTAAATTCTTTGGATTTTATGGTCCATAAGTAAAGGAACCACGAAGGAGCTGCAAAGATCTACCATAAAGCCATGAATCCATTACATTTTGGGGAACGGGACAGGACCCACACGTGTCATGGACTCCCGTAGCTGCGATATGTTGGAAAATATTAGTTTAATAATGTCACTTTGGGGAGTGAAGGATTCAGATTAATATGGTAAGAACTTGCTCACACAAGGTTTTCTGCTGAGTCTGCAATGAGTTATGGATACTGCTTTGAAAATATTTTACGATTCTATTTAACTTTTAGCGTAGTCAAAATCATTGTCAATTTCTTGGGGAGACGTGTACATAACATATTTTATCAATTGTAATATCTGAATATCTTTGTTACAAATTGTTTAACATTAGAACAACACTATAAAGTCTCCAATAAACCATGTTACTTATTTTAACGAGACTACGACTGAGTTGTTCTCATTAGGCTATTCAAAACAACAAGCAGGGTTTTAGTCATTTAACTAATTCTCCACTAACCTGGTGGAGAATTGACAAGAGAATTGCAAGAACTATGTAGATGTTCCAGAAAAACTTCCAAAAGACATTCTCACCCTTACTTGCCTTAAAGGAACACTCCACACACCTAAAGTACTTTAACTTGCTGAAATGTGCAGATTTCAATAGAAATCGAAATCTGCTTTTTACAAGTTAATCTTCTTTACACCCATCCGGATGTAAATTGGACACCTGGGCCTGTTACTTACTGGTAGTTTAGCTCACTCAAGAGTTAGCAATTGCCAAGAGCACCTGTATTGCAAAGACTTCTCATTGAGCTGCATTGGGAAGTCTGTGATTGGACAGTCACAGAAAGTCTGGGCTGGGGAAGAAGGGGAGTGCTTGCAAAGGATGCAGACAAGAGATCTGCAACTTTTGCAAGATCTTTTGAGATATACCCCAATGAAAAATGAAAAAATGCACAATTAAATGCATTTATGTTTCAATTGGGGTATATCTACTATATAGTAATGTTATGTTTTTTTGTTTTGTTTTTTGGCAGTGTAGTGTCCCTTTAAGGGCTCCTGGCTTACAATTATGCAGATATCCAACAGGAATGCATGAACACAGAGTATATAGGCTGATGTCAGCTCAATTTTTGCCCTACATAGCTCCCAGTATGCATCAAGAGGTTCAGGAAGTTGCATATTTGTACGCATAGTAGGTATGGGTCAGCATGATACCAGAAGCCCAGCACACACCACTAACCCCAGACACACAATGTGGAAATGTAGATTCCAGTACTGACTAGCTGACCCACAAAAATTATCCAACAGGCTCTCACCTATACCTGCCTTTTGAGTACTTAGCTTGCAGTTTTGCAGCAATCCACCAAAAAACACAGAACCATACTATACATTTTGAATTCAGTCCAACATTTGACCTAAGTGTCTCTCAGAGGCCATCATTCCTCTGCTATGTGACATTTAGGACACTTAGGTCAGTAAATAAAGCTATATATATGTAATGGATAATGGCTCTTATCACGTGACAAATAAATATGCATATACTTAGTTATTATATGAACTATCCATTGTTTCGATGTCATGTTTTCAAGCCCCTTACTGCACAGTGGGTCACATTACTGTGCATTCTCTGTAATATGACTGACACCACGTTTTGAGGACCCCCTTGTAGGAGCTCCCCTGGCATCAGCCATTATATGCATTTGGTGCCATTTTAATTCATCCCTCTCTTGTTAATAAACTGTACATCAGGAGAGGAGCTGAGGAGACACAAACTGTGCAATTCTGTCTCTACAGCTACTCTCTCAACATATAATTATCAGGGATTGAATTCGTGGGGACAGCTATGAAGTGAGAGCAAATAGCAACTAGCTACCATAAATTTCGGGGCAGACTGGGACACGTGTAACCTATTTATGTTGGACCATTGGCAATGTGGAATGACAAGCTCTTATCAAGTCAAAGGCATTCTGACCATTAACATTAAACCAGATAAGTCACACCTGGGCTGAGATACAGGGATTAAAACAACAACAAACAGATAAATCACAAGTAATGCAATGGTCACTATGTGAAGCGATTGATAAAGAGGTTAACTGTAATGGGGGGTGGAGATATATCATAAATATATCGTAAATATATCACCAACACAGACATATATAATATATGCATCTATATATACATACTAAACTTGGATATTTAATTACGTTACGAATTACAATTTGTCCAAATTTGGGTCAATCAGTTAACTGCACAGACTTTCAAACTCCGAGACAAAATTTTGGCACAAACCAATGATTCAGAGTTCTGCCTATGGCACCAAATAAAGATGGTTAAAGGCTAGGTAACAGCCATTAAAAGTTGATTTATTCATAGGTTTAATAAGAAATGATCTATACAGCGCTGCAGAATTTGTTGGCACTATAAAAATAATAATAATAATCTATAAAGGGAAAAAAAAGAGGCATTGAAAAATATTATATTAAGTATATATTTTGATGTAAAGAGAAACAAAGAATTATGAAGATTCTTGAAAGATTCTGACCCTATTGCACCAAGATCCACATTTACATAAAGTGATTACCCCTCGAGCCTCTGTTACAGCTAGAAGAGGATGCAATATTAAGGATATCCTAGTGCCTAGTCATCTGAGGATCACTCCACATAAACTAACGTGGCTTAAATCTCCCGTCCTAGGCACATACCAGTGTGGTAGATGTAAGGCCTGCAAATTTATACGTCGACCATCTAAGTCTTCCTCAGGCTCTCAGATTACCCAAGAATTTAATGTCAAAACATTCTTTAACTGCCAGTCCAAAGGACTGGTCTACCTCCTTACATGCTCATGTAACAAACTGTATGTGGGCAAAACCTCCCGCAACTTTAAGCTTAGAATACGTGAACATGTAAACTCTGAGAAGTCTGATAGACACTCCAGTCTCCAAACACCTTAAAATCCATCATGGAGGCTCACCGGAGGGAATTAGATTTTGCGGCATTGAGAAGGTCACACTCGGACCGGGGGTGATCTGGATAAAAAAAAACTCTTACAAAGGGAGAGTTTCTGGATCTATAAGCTCAAGACCCTTTCCCCACTCGGCCTGAATGAAGGTTTCTCCTATACGTCTTTTATTTCAGATTAAACTGTAAATATGTATATATATATATATACTTTTCACCAGCATGTTACACATGTAACTAATGTAAATGTTAGTTGTAGTTCTTTATTATTTATTTTATTTTGTAACCCCTTGAGACCCCTGGAGTCTCATTTCGGTACTTAAGACTAGTGGCTAAACCTGGCGCTACTGCCCTAGGGTATAGCGCCTGTGTAAGTACCCACTATCTTAATATTTCCTCTTCTTCATATATTTTGCAGTACACCGACTGGCCCATTTTCACTCCCTTTTGGTTCTTCTGAGTCAGTTCCTGAAACAATCAGAACCTAAATTCTGCCAAGCCAAACAAACAAAGATATGGCCGAAATGTGGGCATCCTGAAAAATGTTTCGGCCAAACCGAATCTTCTTGGCATGCACAAATCGAAATATATTTATACAGTTAATTATTCGCTGACGGGGGAGGTGACATCTTACTATGCTTTGGCTATTAGTGATAAGTGGTCAATTGTTGCCTGCTGGGTGTATTACACATATCTCAGCACAGACAGAGTTAACATTTCCTTTTCTCTATACCTACAATTTGAGTAAGAGTTAGCAAGCCACGTAATTAACTGGGTTATATATAAACTCATTTGACTGCCAGTTACAAAACATCACTTTTGAGAAAATCCCCTTAAATTGTTAAACTACACTATATCTATTGTGTCTGAAATTGTGTGTTACTGTAATAATCTGCATGTACTTTTAATTGTATGTTTTTATTATATTGTCAAATCATAAATAACTCTTTCACAGTTTGTCCTGTTTTTTTCCTGAATTGTGTACCAATTTTTTTGTACACTGTTTGCATAAAGGAACACTTCAAATATCATAACCACTATACCACTCTGTAGAGGTTATTGTACCAAGCGTGTTCTAGCGCTACCCCGGTGTAAGTAGTCAAAATGTTTAGTAAGTATTTAACTTCTTACCTGGGATCTGTTTAACTTTTCACCTGGGCGGTGAGCACATTAAGACTACCCCCTAGGAAAGCACTGACTCACTGACTTCCTGTGGGGTTTTAAATTATGCTTGATGTCATCATGCAGAGCATTAGGATGTCCAGCATCATTTAGCGGACCAAAAGTCAGCCACTAGAGATGGAGTTAGCCCTGCAAGGTAATTCTAGCAATTTATCAATAACAGTGCACCAAAACCACTTCAATGAGATGAAATGGTCTGGGTGCCTATAGAGTCCCTTTAACACAATATGGCCATATGATTGAACTAAATCTATATTTGTTTGCTGAGTTAGGTGACCTTAAGTAGCATTATACAATTTTAAATTGTATTTTTGTGTGTGCACTGTTCCTTAATCTATATTTTGCATACATTTTGCTCTCTATGGCAGCACCATTGCTGTAAAATGCATGTTTTGGGTGTGCCCTCAACCTTTTTTAAATGTCTAAATAGGTCTACCTTTTTAGAAGAACAGTCCCTGTTTCGAGCCCAAATCTCTCTGTGCCTCTTTTTTAGGAGTTCCATATTGCAAATGTGTCTGAGTGTGTAACAATGTTCCACGACAATAATACTCAGTCTTTAAACTAGAAATCAGTCTGTTCTAAATAGGACATAGTACATTGTTCTTGTTCTAAATTACATTTCAGCTGCATAAATTATTAGTAAGTCACCTCAAATTTCTCAGAAGAACCCCACCCCTAGCTACACCCCCACTCACACCCCTAAAATTAAAGTGTCCCACTCAGTGACGTAGTGTGGGTTGCAGTGTCCGGGGCAAGACAAGTATTGCAACCCTTAACCTGTGGACCGTTAGTTTAACGAGCGCCTAGATAGCCTCGCTCTTCCTTCCCTACCCGCCTCATCTCCGTGATGTGTATGAAAGTTGCTTTGGGTAATTTTTCAAATCCATCTCACGCTTAATGTAATGTGTATAGTCTACAGGCATTACTTTAGGCATGAGGCGGTTATGACACCATTTAATAGGCATCTACATAATGCCTATTAATAGCGTGATTCCAACGGTACCTTCAAACTGGAATCACGCTTTTAATATGCATTATAATTCACCGATAATAATGATTATATGTAGACAGTATGGCTGTAATTAGCAAGAAAATTACGGTAAAATGTTACATTGCAACTTTTATATGTTGAAAAACTGTTTAGATTGTTCGAACATTGGGAGATTTTCTGTGTGAGCGGAAGGGCGCACTATATTTTTTAATTCTATTTTTTTTTTTTAATTTTTTTGCCCCTAAGAATTTTGCACAGAAGGAAACTGCCACTGTGGCACCCCCATGCAACAGCACGGGTCCCTGTTTTTCCATTTGAAATGATGGGAGCTATGTGTATTTTTAGAAGCATGTGGGAGATGTATAAGAAAGTACAACATGATACCTTTAAGCACAAAACCATTTTCTATTTCTTGTCTCTGTGTTTCGCAACATGTGTACAAATTGGTTTTATAAGTAAGCAACAAATAAAAGTCTCAGTGTGTAAGTTTTTAATCTCCATTTAACCCCTTAAGGACCAAACTTCTGGAATAAAAGGGAATCATGACATGTCACACATGTCATGTGTCCTTAAGGGGAAAAAGGAATGGAAAACACCACACTGAAACTAGTACGGTAAGCATTATAAACACTGCAACTAATCGATGTGGTTATGGTGCAATGACAAAAATATGTAACGTCGAAGAAAAAAAAATCATGAAATGAGAGTGGTAAATCAGCGGTCCACTTTCACGTTTTTGCTTCCAGATTTGATACTTCGGTTTTAAATAAGATTTTCACTTTGAATTCTCTATACAGTGAATTACAATCTGTGTGTCTTTTGTTATGTCTTATTGGGTTTGGTGCACTGAGAAAGCCCACACTAGTGTTGTAGCAGCGTGACCACAATATTTCACATTTATTAAGTGCATTTTCATTATTATTTTGTTTTGCGTTTGTTTTTTTGTATCATGGTGCAATGAGTCTATATGTGCTGTCCTTCAATTTTCTACCAAAGCATTTCTAGCAATTTGGATGTTCCCCATCAAAAGCCACCTCCTCAGCCTACGTTTCTGCAATATGAGTTTGAATCTTCCCAGCCGGGTTGGCAATGATAGACAGAGCCCTGTTGGCGAATTAGCCTGTAGAAAATGTAATTTGTGCATTATACGTATGGCTGCAGTGGGGTCAGGTTAGGGATGCAATATAGTACCCCCAGCTTTTGTAGATCCAAACTAAAGCAGTTTGACAGAAAACAAGGGACTGCGCCCATAGACTCACAGCACCATAACCACTACAATGAACTGGCACAGAATTCTAGCACAATAGAACTAATTTAAGTAATATTTTATCATTCCAAGCTTTATATTATACTTGGAGTATATTCATTCATTTAGGAATCGTGCTTTAACTGTTTAACTCATATTTAGCTGGACTTGGGAACTCTGCAATACTCGATCTGTCATATAACTGCCTGATTTCTCTCCTGCATATAGTTTTATTAGCCAACTAAGAACTGGAGGTTCATAATAAATATAATACATTTTAAATTTCTAGGTTTCATAAATATGGTCAGCACTAGATTCAGTGAGATATGTATTCACTAAACAAGGGACTGCGAAAAATTGACACAGGAATTGCAAATATTGGGCCAATAGCACCAATAGGAAAAATAATATAGAATTTATCTAGTTATAATTTTGGCTTAGAATTCTTGATTCCTCAGTTATTTCTCTACTTTTCTCAATTTCATGAATAACTGCAGAATTTTGGATGCAATTCTTAAATAAATAATTCCCACCTTTTATATATTTGGTAGAATCGCCAAGTAAAGATTTGATTTTCCCCTTGTATCCTTTGTACAGGGGGGCGTGGGCCACATGGAAATGTCTCGTCACTAAGTTGTGTTTCTCGCTAAAAAGTTTTTGTAGCTGAGATATTTCTCCACAATTTACTGTTTAGTTAATAAACCCTCAAAAAAAAATAGATTCCCATCTCCAATACTGCAAAGATTGTTTTACTAAAAGCCAACATATTTGCATTTCTAGAAATCAACTACCAAATTACCCGTTGTACAGCGCAACAGAATATGTTGGTGTTCGATAAATGCTAACAATACTTAATGGTGTTGCAAAATATTCTTCTCAATTCTTTGCCGAGATACAGAGTGACTTTAACTTCATTGACAAATATCGGCCACAATGTGCGTAGAACCTTCCAAAAATTAGGCACATTAACTCTGTACCTGTTGGAAGGTTTAATCCTTGATAGCTCCAATAAGACTTTTCAACACATAGGTATAGAAGCCACAAAAAAAGTTTCAATTCTGCAGTTAAACAAAAAAACAAAAAACAAAAATTATTGACTTTAGAGTTTTACTATATAGCTCCAAAGGCAAATACAACAGTGCCACCATGTGACAATCATTTGCATTGCACGTGTGTTGGATTTTAGTAAAAAATGTTTTTTTGCAAAACTCAAGCAGCAAAGATAATTGAATGTTTAGAGAACTCCAAATATATAGGTGCTTTTACTAAAATATAGTCATGGGGAGGAATCAGACTAAACCTTAAAGGGACAGCTAACCACCATAAATCACCACCACCATGTTTTTTGTTGTTGTTTTATATCAAATCACTGTTTATCCATACATTTTCTCAAAGATAAGGGGAGATAGCTCAGTGATTTTGTACACTATAACCACTGCACTGAGACATAGTGGTTAGATTGCACCTTTATATCCCTCAACACCTCAAGCACTTTGCAATGTATGTAAAAGCAAATTAATATCCTCAAATGAGATTGAGTTCGATATATAATACTATGAGAGACGTGAATCCAATTTTTATGTAATGCTGTATTTAGAGTGTATAATGATCGCTAAAGAATATGTGGCATATTATTAAACATCAAACACATACATTTTTTATTTATAAAATATTTTACCAGGAAGGATACATTGAGATTTCTCTTGTTTTCAAGTATGTCCTGGGTCAAGTATGTCTCGGTAGGTCTACACAAAGGACACTTTTGTATTTTAAAAAAAATTTGGGCAGTAATGTGTCTTTTTAAGGCCAAAACAGCTTAACTGCAAAAAATATTTTTAAGCCTGTTATACTTTGTACTTTGAAGTTGCATTGAATTCTCATTTTAACCCCTTAAGGACCAAACTTCTAGAATAAAAGGGAATCATGACATGTCACACGTCATGTGTCCTTAAGGGGTTAATGAACAACCTTAGTAATTTCCAAATGTTTTGATATAACTTGTTATATTTTGTCTCTCCTAAATTTGATTTTTTTTAAAAAAAAGCTTTTCTCCGATATCCGTGTGTAAGACAGAACATAATAAATCATTATTACTGGCATTTATAAAGTAACATCATATTCAACAGCTCTGTACAGTTGGGGAAAAATAAGGTACAATATACACAGACCAATACAAAAGGTAGAGATGGCCCAGCTCATGAGCTGAGATCTAGTCATTAAACTTTTATTTATACAAAGTACTTAGCTATATAGCTTGTGAGTTTACAATCTAACAGTAAATAATTTCAAAGGAATAGTATCAAATGAATATGAATGCCTAGTTAAGCTAGATAAAGGTCCCATACAATATTTAAAGGGACACTATAGTCACCAGAACAACTACAGCTTATTGTATTTGTTCTGGTGAGTATAATCATTCCCTTCAGGTTTTTTTGCAGTAAACACTGTTTTTGTTTTCCAGAGAAAAGGCAGTGTTTACATTACAGCCTAGGGATAGCTCCACTGGCCACTCCTCAGACGGCTACTAGAGGTGCTTCCTGGGGCAGTGCTGCCATTCAGTGTCTCCACCCTCTGCATGCAGACACAGAACTTTCCGGATAGATATGCATTGATTCAATGCACTTCTATGAGAAGATGCTGATTGGCCAGGGCTGTGTTTGGCTTGTGCTGGATCTGCCTCCTTGACAAGCTCAGTCAATCCAATGTGAAAGCATTGTGATTGGCTCAGAACATAACTTCTGATGATGTCAGCCAAGCAGGAAAATCAGGGGCAGAGCCAGAAGCAGACTAGTATAAAGGTAAGCTTTTAATATATTTAGGGGGGCTAGGTGGGCTAAATTGTGGTTTTAACACTATAGAGCCAGGAATACATGACAGTGTTTCAGACCCTATAGTGTTCCTTTAAGTGCTTTTGGATATTCTTTACGTAAATCCTGTTTTAAGATTGTTCTACATAATATCAGTTTCTGAAGCTGACTTATAATGTGTATTTCAAAACAATGTAACAGCTTTCCATTGGAAGCCATCATTGGTTGGTGCAAAGCATTGTGGGATTAACTCATAAACCAGGAAAATTGGAACCAGAATCCATGTTTACTGCCAAGCCACCATGGTGTGATCAAGAATGTGGCACCAAGATTTCAATTTTATTTACAGTGGACATTTTCATTTTTTTAACATTACATCACACATTTTACGTTTTAAGTCTTCATATATTTTATTCAGTTTGTTATATTTTTTAAATCACCAATATTGGAATCTGTCTAATCTCTTCTTTAACATTTGTGTAAGTACTCATAGAACTCCTAACATTATATGATGTATAGGGCAAAGAGCAGGAAGATGCTCTTTAAAATGTGAGTCAAATCACATTTCCAAAACTACTTTTTACATGACTCTCTATATGTTGTTGTTTTTGGACATCTTCTCTCATATTAACACTGGCACTAACTATTACCCGACTGAAATTTCTTTATTAAATGAATTTATTTGTTCATAATGCCTCTACTAGTTTTTACAAAGACTTGCACACTCACAATATTGTTCACAGTTTATAAGTGTTCCGGGAGGCACTCAACATCTCATATTTGCAGTACAATTATAGTTTTATTTATAACATTTAGAGGCTTTACAACAAAAAAACAGAAACATACCCCTTGGATTTAGGTTTAGAAGGAGGAGTGTAAACTTAGGACTGGTGAGTGAATAATTAAGCAGGACTTGACACACTGGCATAGATCTGCTAAGACCTTCTTTAAATAAACACTCTAATAAATACATTTGTTTTAAACACTAGAGTGTTCCTTTTTACCGTAAGATTACTGCCACCCCTCGTTAAAGGAACACACACTCTAAGCACCATAACCACTATGGCATGCTGTAGTAATTATGGCGCAAGAAGTGCCCAGGCAACCCCCCATTGTAAGTAGTCAAACCATTTTGCAACGGTCTGACTGCTACCTGCTGTTCACCAGGCTCTGCTCTCACATGCACTACATCTACAGGAAAGCCAGAGCCTCAGGAGCTTCCATGAGCTTTCCTGAAATGAGCCCTCATGGCAGGTAGGGCATAGGGAGATTTTAAATATCTCTTACAGTAATATGGGGGGATTTGCTAAAAGAGGGGCAAAAAAGATGGCTGCCCACATGTAGTAAGCTTAAAGAGCCACTAAAGTCCAGTTGCGACTCTATGAACAATATATAGGAAGGCACATAAGATACCACAGTCAAAACTAATAATTTCCACTGGTGGCGAGGTGGAGAGGGTGACGTGCCACCACTGGCTGTATAGTGGCCAGCTTGCTGTGCGTGGTAGCCTCAGACGCCACATTTACACAGAATGCACTGAATTCTTGTTCTGGCTGGCTAATAACATTATTATTTGCCATCTTTATGTGGGATTACCATATTTGAAGACACCAAATATGTAAGCTATCTGCTAAATAGAACCTAAATTTGCTATCCTCTAATAATGGAAATCCCACATAAGGGTGCCAGAGTAGGGAGTTACCTACTAAACAGCTGAAAGATCAAAATTAAGAATAACTCCCTTATTTGCCATCCTAATGTGGTATTACATGCCTCCCAACTGTACCGAATCTGCAAGGAAAGTGGCTTTTGGGGACACCAGGGAACTGTACCCAACATTCATAGAGTGTGTGGCGAAAGTAGCCTCGCCACTGGTACTTGGAGGGGCCTGCTTGCCAGCCTCTTGCCCCAGGATTATGGACCCTGCAAAAACACATGTTAAAAAATGACTTCCATGGAAAAACCAAACCACTGAAACGATCTGGGTGATTTTTGGATATGTTGGTCACCCAGATCAGGGCTATCCAAGGATGTGACTCTTGTGGGGTTTCCATGGATCTTGGGGGTACTTTTGGGGTGTTTGTAAATTGTTTTTCTGTACCTGAATGGATTGCTTATCTGTGCCTCTTCCCCTCCCTCTTTTTCCTGTACCATTGTTACCCCAGCAGGGCGTTGTCCCAGGGACACTGCCAGACCAGTTTAAACTGGCTGCTTTGTCCCTCCTCAATCTCCCATCAGCCCTTGCTATTGTCTGACCCCACCCTTCCTTGTACTATAGTAATCTATGTAACCTATTGTATGTACATGAGGCTGTTGGGGGTTTAAAATGTGTGTATAAATTGTAAGTGCTGGCTTGCATTAAACAGACCTGCTTTACCCTTTCTTGAAGCCTTGGCTCATGCTTGGGGGATGGGATAACTACACTCTTGGGGATTTCTATAGCACAATACTCCCCTGAGTATAAGCTCTTGTAAGAGCTTGTTCCTGATACGCTCTCTGGATTAGGAGAGGTCTACCCACTGGAAGCTGGATCCTGGTCTTGGGTCCAGGGTGGGTGGAGGACGGTGAGACCCTGAAGCAGCTGCATTGCTGGAAGTGGGGTCTACAGTGCTTAAGGTGTCTGGTGGAGTGCTTGGAGTCCTCGGCAAGCACTAGGAGCATTAATTGGCAGAGGTACTCGGTCAGAGTGCCAGTGGTCCGTCACAGAGTGCATTAATAGACATGCTTGCGCTATGATTAGAGCACTAGGACCCTACAGGGAGCGCTGAAAGTGTGTTCCCTGCAGGGTCTGCCCTCAGTGTGCCATCCTGCATGATGAACCCACCCATTTTCCGGGCCCCCTATGGGGGCAGAGGGAGTGACACAATTGCATCAGTGGCCCACCCCTTTTCCTTCTTCTCTCTGGCATCCCAATTCGCAGGATGTCGGAGTTGAGAGGTATGGAATTGCCATATTTAAAGCAACACTGTTACCCTCCCGCCTCTCCAAAATGAGTATTTCACAATGGTATAATTGTCATGCTTTTTGAGGAGCATTGGATTGAATCATGAGCAGCGTTGTGGGAGCCTCCATGCTGGAAAAGGGTAAGTAAAATTATTATTTTATTCATTTTTATTACACACGGACGGGGGGCTGTAAAGAGCTAGAGACAAGGGCATTGTAGCTTTAGGAGTAAAGGTTTTTATTTCTAACACTATCATGTTCCTGTTAACCAGGGGTGTCCAAAGATCTTTTAAAACTACAGTTTCCATGATGGTTTGTCATACTAAAGGCATATAAAGCATCATGTGAGTTCTACAACATATGGGGATCTATCTTTTGGGCACCCCTGCCTTAAACCATAAAAAAAAAAAAAAAAAAAACTAATACCTTAATAAAATAAGATATATTAAAAGGAACACTTCAGGCATCATAACATTGGAACGAAGTTGTTATGGTGTCAGCTTAGCTTTAGAAACTAAACTATTTATAAATGGAGACCCTCAGACAGGGGGCACCACTATTTGGCTGAGAGCAGTGTCAAATAAAACACAGTATATTCCTAATATATGGGATAATCACTCAATTGTCATAGTAACATGGATGAAGAGATAGACTGACAGACAGACAGACTCCTCTGAAAATTGCAATACCTACAAATTTTATAATACTTTATTAGTTGCTAGCAGGTCAAGCCATTGACAAAGATCTTGGTTAATAAATCTGATGCATAAAATGGGAAAGGAACAACTAACTCATTACAGAAAGGAACGACTAACTCATTACATATGGACGTTTAACTAGCAACCTATTTAAGCATTCCCTAGAGATCAACCCTGAGCAATAGATGGACTAGCACAGCAGCCTGCTTGGTTCAGCAAGCAGTCAAAGTTAAACCCTTCATCTGAGATATGGTTTTGTTTACAAGGCTCAATTCCCCCAGTTCATGGTTGCCATTGGAAAGTCGCATGCACGCATTTTAACCCCTTAAGGACCAAGCTTCTGGAATAAAAGGGAGTCATGCCATGTCACACATGTCATGTGTCCTTAAGGGGTTAAAGGGCATTTTCAGCCGATATTTTATGCATATTTTTTTTCTTTTCGTGTTGTGAAAGACCAAAATTGTTTATTTGTTAGACAATGTATTCTGAGCAAATAAAAACCAAATAGCCAAGCTGTGAAACTATCTGACTTTGTCAAATGTGATTCATCACCATTCACTGTTTACTGAATAAACCCTATTCCGTCTATATTTTACTTTTACTTTTTTTTTTTACCTAATTAAGTGCACATAGCTTTTAAAATCACTTTAAAATGTACATTAAGAAAAATAGAGATTTAGTTTAACAATAATTTTGTACGTTTAATATTAAGTTACCACAACTCGCTACTTATAGAGCAGCCTCTGTTTGTCTTATAATATAGATTATAGAATAAAAAACATGGTTCTTGTGATTATAAATGATGCTGTATAATGGTAAGAATTTGCATACATATATATTTACAAACCCAGTTATACATCTTGCTAGACCCCCATTATGCCCAGGAAACTCTCTTAGAACTGTACACATGAGACTACTTAACGCCTTAAGGACCAAACTTCTGGAATAAAAGGGAATCATGACATGTCACACATGTCATGTGTCCTTAAGGGGTTAAAATAACATTATAAAAAACATAACTGTTAAAGCTGACTGTAGTGGTTATGGTGCTACCTTTTGTCTCATCTCCCCAGTTTAACCTTTAGATTGTAAGCCACGGGCAGGGCCCTCTACCTTTGTATTGGTCTGTTCTATTGTATTGTCTTTTTCCCAATTGTACAGCGCTGTGGAATATGTTGGCACTTTATAAATACCAGTAATACATACATTTAAAAAAAGGAGCCTTTGGATGCAGTGGTTCTCAGCCCAGTGCTGGCAGTCCATTATTGCTGTGATGTTGTCTGTGGTTGGACAAATTTGAACAAATAAAGTCGACATGAAACTTCATCGTCATCCCGTTAGCAATTAAGGAGTGCTCAAAAATGTTTCACAAACAAAAAAACTGTAATCAGCACCCAAACACTTCATCAGACTATATAGGTTACAGGACTTGGGGTGTGCTTTTAAGCTTTCCACATCCATACTCATTGGTCATATAGTGTAAAACAAAAAAAAAAAGTGGCATGGCACATGGGGAGTCCCACTTAAATGGGTTATGGTACCTACAGTGTTCCTTTAAAATCAGATGTATGTGAGGTGACAGCCTAAGACATAAAGTTTATCAGTAAAAATCATAGACTATATGCTATTCACTTCTATTGCTCTATCTGCTGTTACATATTTACTCTCATGGTTGTCTTAATGATGAATTTTTATTTTAATACCTCAGGGGGCGATTAAATGGTTTGGGATTTGAATTGATTAAGAAATCCCTATCTTCTACTTTATTAAGCATTAGACACAGTACCCTGTAGTACATATTTGTACAGCTAACACCAATAAAATCACTGCAGGGAGAAAACTACAATGCCTAATATTAAAGTGATTCTATAGTGTTAGGAATACAAATCTGTATTCCTAACACTATAGTGCCCCCCGGTCACCCCCCTCCCTCATCCCCCACTCCCAGCATGCAAGAGGTTAAAAACCCTTTACTGATTCACCCGATTCCAGCACTGATGTCCATTGGCTGTGGGCTGGTACTCCGCCTCCTCCAATGTTATCCGACAGGGAGGCCTGATGCGCATGCGCGTCAAGCGCCTCAAGCGCATTAGATCCTTCCCATAGGAAAGCATTTCTTCAAAGCTTACCTAGGGGGATTTCACTGACGTTGGATGTCCTCGTGCAGAACGAGAGAGGACATCCAACGTCGTTTAGGCAACCTGGAGTCCGTTAGAATCCAGGAAGTGCTTCTAGTGGCTTTCTGATTAACAGCCACTAGAGGGAGTCTTCTCAAAAACTGCAATATGTTACATTGAAGGACTAAGTGGGACAGGAACAAGAGAAAGGGGGAAAAAAGAGTAATACATAATTGACAACAATAGCAAGAGGAAATTAAACATAGGCATTCCTCCCACCATTTTAAATGGATAAAGAGGGGCACTTTCATTTTAGGGTTGTGAGTGGGGGTGTTGCCAGGGGGCTGAGCAGTTCTGAGATATTTTAGAAGACTTACTAATAAAAATGTATCAAGATTTAAAATCATTTGGGATTCCTCTGCTTATTTTTGTGTTTTACTAATAAAAATGTATGCAAATAAAATGTAACTTAGAACAAGAACAATGTATCATATTGACACAGACTTCTTTCTAAACACATTTATTATAGTGGAAAGCAGCGGTTCCCAAACTGTGTGCTGGGGCTCCGTGATGTGCACACAGGGGTGCCGAGGAATGTTTCCCCAGTTAATTCCCCCAGTTCATGGTTGCCATTTGAAAGTCGCATGCACACGTTTTAAAGGACATTTTCAGTCGATATTTTATGCATATTTTTTTTTCTTTTCATGTTGTGAAAGACCAAAACGGGCCTGGTCTGGTGCCGCAGTCCTTTAAGACCGCGACCAGAGCCCTGTAAGGTTGGCCAGCTGGGAGGAAATGACAGCATGT